ATAACTTAAAGCCATCTCATTTTTGGTCTTCCTCTTCCTCTTTTTCCATCAACACTCATGTTCTTTGTCACTGAAACTGCCTCAGTTATTAATAATGTTTTATGTATCTATACTTTATTTTATCTTAGATGGATGTCACCAGAATCATTAGTAGATGGTGTTTTTACCAGTCAATCTGATGTTTGGGCTTTTGGTGTTCTCCTATGGGAAATAATGTCTGTAGGACAGCAGCCCTATCCAGGACTATCTAATATAAATGTCATGTATCACGTTCAGCATGGTGGAAGGCTTGAAAAACCAATTAATTGTCCAAAAACTTTGTAAATATACTACAATATTTTTATATAGTAAATACCAGTAATGTTGTTCTATCATTATTTAACCAAAAATTTGGCGTTTAATGTTTAATATTTTTAAGACCTGTGTAACATTTATAAAGTTTTCAAATGAATTACAAAGTAAACTTTTTCAATGCTTCTATTAGAAACCCATTTTTTGAAATACTTTTGATAGTTAAATCATGTTAATATTATAATATTTACAATAAGGCAACTCAATAGTGAGATTATAAATTTTAATGTCTGAAATATTAATTTTATATTTTTTTAATGCTAATTTGGAGAATTTAAATAGGTATTTTGCCTGATCGAAGTTAGGTTAAAAAATGATTGATTGGTAGATTGATCTAAGTTTAAAATTAAAACTCAAAATCTGACGAAAAGGAAATGTTTGTTTTKTTGAATATTATTAATAGAACAATGTTACTAAAATTAATAAATACAATATTCTTTACAATAAGTTAAGATGGTTATACTCAATTCAGAATAAGAATATGCAGCCTTGGACATCAAGGTTGAACTCCACATTACTGGACGATTTATTAATTTTTAGGCGTGATAATTTATTATTGTGTATAATCACTGATAATAATAGTTGTCACGGGTGGGTGTAGAAAATGTTGGGCATTGAGTAGAGGAAATGGTAGTGGGGATGATGTGTGAACAGGGCATATTTTCATCTGCTGACTGATATATTCTTATTTTGAATCTAGTATATATATCAATAATTTTTATCATTCACATTAAGAATTATAAACTTTAATATTTTTATATTCGATATCTCTTAATACTAAAAATATTGTTGTTCTATTTTTATAATGTATTATTTTATGTATTACATTATGAATCTTTTTTAAAAATAAAGTTGATTAAATGGAAAATACAAACATAATTTTGAATGTGCGTCAAATAAAAATAATTGACTATGCCCAGTCTCTCTAAAAAGAATTATTTATTTTAAATTAATGCATATTAGTTTGATTAAAATTCATTGTACATTATTAAATTGTTAATATAAAAAAATCAGTTGCTTCTACATGTCTTATTTCAGATATAATTTGATGCAAAAATGTTGGCATGTTGATCCAGAGAAACGACCAAAGTTTGAATACTGTTTAAAAGTATTAAAATCATACATGGCTATGCCACTGGATTATGTTAATATTCCTCATGGCCGTATGTAAAATCATACTTTATATTATTAATATTTTTAAACYAGTTATGATATACATTAAGCAATGTATAGTAATAGTATAATAATGTATTCTTTAGCGCAACTGCACAATGTATCACTTCTATCGGAGAAATACTCAATAGATCTTATTACAGGTATTGATTCTCAACAAAAATTATCTCCCTCAAGTAATTATGATGGATATGAAATACCAATTAAAATAATTAACAATGAATACTTGGAACTGTATAATGATAAATGTGAGTACCTAGATTTATCAACACCTACAGTTATTATGGTTGATAATAGAGATTCAGATCCAGAATCAATTCCGGAAGATAATTTATATTGCAACATGAATCCAGAAATTATAGGATAAATTGACAATTTCTCACGTGGCTGAATTAAAGGCTAAAATACTTAAAATTAGTTGTATATTATTTTTGTTGATCTATAGAGAATTTTGTAAAAGGGTTATATAATTATTGCTCTTATTTATAACTTTAATAATGAACAAAGATAATTAATATTCAATCAAATCATTATTTTTGTTGAAAGTTATATTTTTCTACTAGTTGTTTATATTTTGTTAAATTATTTTTTAAGGATATCCGATTATTGGCATCTACTTGAAGCCAATGACAACTACTGTCAAATGATACATTAAGTGTGTTATGTAATTATTGTAATAATTTATTGTACAAAATGTTTATTTCTTAAGTAAAGATGTAACACTTGAAAGTGTATCACACTTTTGGGTGTTAAAATTATATCAATTACAAAGTTCCTAAATAAGATACATATGTGTGTTAAGTGTAAATCCATGTAATATATTATGTTAATTTTTTATTCACTTTTTATTTGCTAAAAGTTTTCAAAAATAATATTTATAAACAACTGAGGAATTGGGTAGTTTGATTAAAATTAAAATTGGGTCACACATCTATGATTAGATGTATTTAGACATATTAATATTGTGTCCCATTCTGTTAAAAAATATATCGATAATTGAATTTCAATTATTCTTTAATAATCATTAAAAACATTTAGTTTCCTCTGAAATTATATTAACCTACAACTATTTATACAAACAATGCCCACTTGACCACAAATAATACATTATACATTTTTTTTTTTTTTCATTATTATTACTCTAGAGAAAACAACTATTGTTATTAGCTTACATATTTAAATATTACTTTTACATTAAGGTACAATTTACAATATTAAAATATAATTATTTTTGATATGTGCAATGTAGAAAAGGAAAAAAGATCAAAGAAAAATATAAGATTGTATAAAGTGATATACAGTTTGGTTATTTTCAGAAAAGTTAAAATATTGTTAGAATTTTCATAATCTGATCCAAGTGCTTCATAAAAGTGTTCTGGAATGTTTAAGGAGGTTCTGGTATCAGCAAAATTGAGGCAGTGTAGATGGACATGTTTAATGGTTAGAGCTTCACTGCAGGTTAAACCAGGGTCTTCGTGTCTCAAAAGAAAACTGTGTGTAAGTCACGTATGGCCGATTCCGAGTCTGTTAATTATGACTTCATGAAGTCTCTTGGTAGTGAATGTTGGCCAAGGGTTGATAGAGGGTTTGATTTCTCTTAATTTTGTGCGTGACGATGTCTAGTGGTGTTGTCATTGTTGCAGCATCAGAGACTGTATTACTCCCTTGATATCTCCCAGAGAACAAACTTGCACTAAGGAGGCTTCAGGGAATGTTTTAGCTCTTTTAGCGAGGGTGTCTGCTGTTACGTTTCCGGGGATTCCAGTATGGCTAGGAATCCATAGCAATGTGACAATTTGATTGTTGTGATTTAGAAGAGAAATTTGATTTTGAATCATTCTGGATATGGCATTGGGTTGGTTTATGTTGCGGATGCTGTTTTTATTACTAAGAGAGTCGTTTAATATGAGCACATTATCTATTTTGAGTTGTTGAATTTAGAATGCTTGAAATAGGACTAGAATGGAATGCACCTGTGGCAAGTCTTAGACCCACATTGTGAATAGTCTCTATCATTTTGAGTGCAGATTGTTTAACGTCAATGTAGAGGAAAGCACCTTATTCTAATTTAGACAAAATGAGAGATTTATATATTTGTTTAAGGGTAGTCCTGTTTGCTCCCCACGTAGTGTGTGCTAATAGTTTGATGATGTTCAATTTTATTAAAGTTGCTTTTCTAATTTCTTTCAAGTGGGCCTGCCATGTGTTTTTGTTGTCAAAGGTAATTCCAAGAATCTTAATGATTTGGTGTACGGAATTGGAGTGTTGTTTAAATGTACTTCTAAATTGTTATACTTTCTGAATCTGGTAAAGAGGGAGCAGCAAGATTTTGTAGCAGAGAAGGTAAAACTGGTTTTAGAAGACCATTCTAATAGTGAGTCGATTGTATCCTGTAGAGCAGGTTGGATGGAATTTTGATTTTTTCCTCTGCAAATGATGTTTAAATTGTCTGCAAAAAGTGTAGATTGCACTGGAAATTTGATATTCTAACATATCGTTTATAGCGATAAGGAATAAGGTAACTGATGATATAGTAGACTTTTGGGGGACACCGTTTTGATGATTAAAGGAGGGGGATAGATAGTTGTCGATTTTCACTTGGAATAACCTATCCGATAAGAAGTCCTTTATGAAATTGAACAATCTGCCGTTAGGTTAGGATGTTATGAAGTTTTTCCAGTATGCCAGGTCTCCAGATGGTATCATAGGCTTTGGCTATATCTAGTGCAACTAGTCCTAGAACTTGTTTGTTTTAGAGTGTTTTCTTGGATGTCCTGCTGAGAATTGTATGTGCTCCTGTGTTTTTGAAAGCCATTTTGTTGAGGGGTAAGATAATTTAGTTTTCTAATAACCAACGCAATCTAATATTGATGATTTTTTCAAGGAGTTTGCTCATGATATTTAATAATGATATAGGTCTATAACTGTTTAATTTGAMWTTGTCGTTACTGGGTTTTAATATAGGAACCACTATTGAATGTTTCAAGGATTTGGGAAGCCTACCACAGTTTCAGATTTTGCTATAGATGTTAAGAACGTAGATGAGTGCTGAAAGAGGCAAATTGTGTAAGAATATGTAAGGGACGTCATCAGGACCCGGGGAGAGACTGGAACATTTTCTCAGTGCCACATTCAGTTCCTTAAGAGAGATCGTAAGGTTTAGATGTACCTGGTTTTGTAAAGCAGGATCGATGTTGGAGATATACTGACTGTTTCTGTTTTGGATGTTGTTAGTCAGAAAGGTCTTGTCGTAATTGTCATCAGAGCAGTTTGTTTGGAAGGAGACTCCAAGATGATTGGCCATATCAATAGGATTCGTGTGTATTGTGTCATCAATGATTAAGTGGATGTGTTTTTCTCTACTTTGTCCCTACAGGGATCTAACTTTGCTTCAGATTATACTAGAGTCGATTCTGGGTATGATGCTTAAAGTGAAGGATTTCCAAGACTTTTCTTTTTCTGATTTTTACCAGATATTTGATCTTCGCCCTTAAATGTTTAGTATGATATGATCTTTGGGTTTTACTGAGTTTTGGAAGGCTTTTAGTGCTTTATTTTTGTTTCTGATTGATTACATTATTTATATATAGTATTCTAATGACTTATAATAATCAATTTTATATGGATAATACATATATTTTATTTATAATGTAATTTGTTTYTATCCAGTTGCATAATTTGTACCCAACTTAAATGCAATTTCAACCATATTTTGAGGTATCCCTTCTTCATAACAAACATATAACTCTCGTTTATTTGGTTCTTTGAATAATCTCCTAAAAATATTAATACATTTTTATATGTTGTTAAATAATTATCTTAAAGAAAATACTCACCCTGTGACCCAGAATGTTATCAAGTAAGATTTTTTTGGAGAATCTGTATTTGATGTAGGTATTTGAAATAAAACACCTATCTCATTTATTTCATTTTCATCCTAAAACATGATTATAGTTATAAACTAACTGTCCTGCCTGATGTCTATGCCAAAAGTTTGTAAAAAAAAAAAAAAATGTAAATGCCATATTTCTTTTAATTATAATATTAACATCTATATWTATAAAAAAGGAGACAAAAAATTCGAAATTGCATCAGTTGAGAATGGCTGGGCCGATTTGGCTCAAATTTTTTTTAAATAATAGAGAATGTCTGGGAATGGGTTTATAGCATACATTATGGACCTAACTCCTGTGAGTTAGAGATTTAGAGACAAAAACTGAGTTACACCGGTTGCGCCCTCTAGCAGATAAAAATATAAATCTATATATATAAAAAATGTATAACAATTCATCAATTGAGAACGGCTGAACCGATTTCGCTCACTCTTTTTTTGTTTGGGTCGTAATTGCCAGGAGAAGGTTCTTAAGGGTGAAAAAATTGAGAAAGTTATCGGGTTAGAGAAATATGATGAGGGTGTGATGAAATTAAAGTGGTGCCATCTGCCCAGTAAAAAGTAAAATAAATAATATTAATATTTTTTGGTAGTCAAAGGCAACCATTTAAACAAACAAGTGCTCTCGAGAGCAGCTGGATTTATTTTTAGGATGGACATTTTTGTTTATTTATAAATGGTAGTAGTATGTATTTGTATGTTCACTGCCAGCATTTACGCGGTAAAAAAACTGTTCAAGCGGAAATATTCCACTCCGAGAACACCGATTTACCGCGTTACACAATACGGTGATTACACAAATTTGTCCGTCTATTTGCCCCTCGCACAAAAATATTTACCGCATCAACTATTTTTTTATTAGATTTTCTGTTTTTTTAATTTTTCAATCAAATATCGCTAAATTTTATAAAAATAATATTTCAAGTAAAGAACACAAAT